TTTATTTTTTCAATAATATTAAAATTAAAAAATTAGATACAATTTGAATTTAGATTAAATTTTTGATGAGTATAGATATTATGCACCATATGCCTCGTATTCTAAAATTTTGATGAAGTATACAAAATTATACTTTTTATGAATACTATAATATTCGGGATTCTGTAGCTATTTTAATATGTTAAGTCAATATATATCTCTAACAACTATATAGCCTTGCTGATATAATAATTTCTTAACAAGTATGAATGTTTTAAAAGATGATCGTTGTCATAATTAGGCTCTCTTCTTATACATCTAATCATTTCTTACTGGATAACAACGTTTCTCATTCCATATCAAATATATTCTGATTATTTCAATTCATTTTTTATACCTAAAAACTTCATATCATCAGAAGTACCATCATTCCTTACCACCTTTTAAACCCATTTTGCCAATGACTCAGGTCTCTTTTTGTAATTCCTGTAGACTCACTAAATAACTGTTGCATAGAAATTCTCAAACCGATAGTTATATTGTCTTATAATCAAGAATTCTCAAGATCATTTCATTGATCTTCCTTTAAAAATACTTTATTAAAATAGTTATACAGTATATTGGAGAATCTAACCCAGAATATGCAGATCACATTTTTTATCTGATAGGTGATACATTTTAAATTTTACCAGGTAATCATGCATGCAGATTATATAACGCAAAAAATAAAGAATGTTATACATTACATTTTTGGCTAAATGATATTAATCTTCGATTGAAAGCAAAAATTTATAATTAATATATTTTTCAGAATAAGTCAGTTAAACGAACATGATTTTTGTCTCATCTTTCAATTTTAATGTAGGCTGATTAAGATGGTTTATAAATAGTAGTAAGTTATTTTATTTTGCATATCAAGACGAGATAAATATTTCACTTGTATTACTTTTACAATTTAATGATTGATAAGAAGTTAGTGAAATAATTTCTTACCTGGCAGGTGAAATACAAGTTAGCTCAAAATTTGAAGCACTTGGCATAGTATTTTTTGCTATGGTTGCTTTAGATTGTGCATAATTTTTATAGTTAGCCGTAAAATTCCCATTATGATTATAAGATACTAATGCTAACTTATTCTTTTTTGAATGTGAGATAGATTGAAAAAAAAGCTCTAGATGGAGACGATTAATTTTAGCTTTTTCTTGTAATATGTATTGTTTATATTGCCAAATCTGAAATTCCCTTCTATCAATAGATTTGAGAATTTCTTCTCTTTTTGCATGTTCATTTGAAATAGTATTTCCAGAAATATATTTCTTCAAGTAGCTATCTCGATTTCAGATATGAAAACTAAGGAGTAACATACACTACAATATATGTAATTTGATGGAAGACCATGGACTTTATCATATTCATATAAATTTTCATACATTGTAATATATCCATTCTTAGAAAGAATTCTTAGATTCTCTTCAAGTATTTTTCTAAATGGACCATGGATACGGAAGCATCATATTTCTGATGTTTCATGATCATATCATTCACTTAAAGGACATAATGCTTCTAATATTCTTCTATATTCTTTATAGAAACTAGCTTATATTAGGCTCTACTATCTAAATCTATAATAGTGTTTTAGTAAATTATAACAGATTATAACGATTTTAAAGTATTTTATCGATTTTAGCAATTTCAGTATGTTATATTGATTCTTTATCAACCTATACTAGACAATATCACCATTCAAATTTATACAGATTTACTGGTTAAGAGATTTATAGCAATTTCACTGTTTTTTATCGATTTATAGTGATTTATAACAGTTTGTAACAACTATATTATAATAAAATATCGGATTCATTTTTATTCGATTACAAGCATATATAGGGCATATCTCGGGCTAAGCTAATTTTATATTTTCATGCATATGCACTAAATCAGTTTGTGGCATGACGTATAACATATCACATGTATCACCCTAGATCCCTGCCAGTTCCAGGAGCTGGCGAGTTTCTATAAATCACGAGATGATCGGCCGATCAGATTTTTTTATCAGTTAAATACCTATTTTTCTGATGGTAGAGTCTAGTTGCGCAGAAAAAATGTGATCCAGTGACTAGCGATCAAGAAAACTAATTTTATGCAGGCGCAGTTAAAAAAATAGTTAAATTTATTTCCCGAAATTTAGGGGAACACATTTTTTCTAGTGGTAGCATTTAGCAGGGATCGTATTCACATACATGAGTTAAAAAACAGAAGCCCTATTGGGCAAACTTTATTTACGATTGATTGGTTTATATAACAAATCACATGTAAAACATTATTGCAGAGTCTGGACACCGTATCCGGGCTCGCGCAAAAGAAATGGCGCAGTACCTTTTTTTCTCAAAAAAGAAACAAATTTTTTTTCCTTCTCAATATGGCTATCTTCCACAGTACCGAAGGTACAAGGGAGGCCGTTTTGGTAAATTATTTTCCGTGATGTTCAACAAAACAAATAAACCCGGTATGGTAATGCTTTATTAATATATGTTTGAAAATACACGTGAGCTCGTCAAAATTGCGCAGAAGAAACGGCGCAGTACATTTATATCAAACTTTTCGTTTTAAGATTTCGTCTTTTTCATCTTTAGTTAGATTTAAGATGAATGTCAGAGATAGATTTAATCTGTGCTATTTTTTCTTTACCTATGGTATTAAAGGCGGTGCATTTATTTTTTCGTTGTGGCAAAAAACAGTTACCAATGGTAACGATCAGCATACCAAAAAAAGATATCTGACAATGTAACGCTTCGCAAGGCACAAAGTGTATAATTTTATTTCAATGCTAAATATATCACGCCATGTAAAGTAGTCACATGCACATATTTAAAGCCCAATTAGGTAAATTGCATAACGATCATTTTAAACATTTACTCTTAACTCTTAAGGCTCAAAAGACCTTGCGGATAGATAATTTTCAATTGCAAATCATGTGATGAGGTAATTACACATCAACTCAACCTAAAAGATAGCATAAAAAAAGTAATAAGAAACCCCTGAACCAAAAAATGAGCGGATACATAAAAAATGATGAAAATATACCTTGCGAGGAGTTGCTACCGTTTTCCTTGTCATTCTCATCTTTTCGGTTGGGGTTTTTATAGTGTTTTCATTATAAGCGGTATAGGACGGAAGTCTTTCAATATATTCTTCTACGAAATTCTGAAATTTGTAATTAGCGAACCATGAAGTTGATAATTTATCAACACAATAATACAAATGACCATCAAATTTACCTTCAGATTTTCTACTTCATGTAACGCATTTTCAACCAAACACAGGCTAATATTACTTTTTGGCATTTCAAACTCTCCTATCAAATACATTCTGTATACAGCATCATAAGAAAGGTCCATAGCATATATACGGACATTATAACCTGCCAACAGAATGCTAAACTGATTAGATAAATCATTCAGAAAAAATATATATCCGGAAAGCTACATACCAAATGCATGGATTCCAAATACAGCCATGTCTAATTCAAGACATTTCTCTTTATACATGTTATCTAGTGAGTCTTTCATTAATACTCCTAAATCCACTAAATCAACATTCGCGAAATGAGAGCTACTTTTGTAAGGCGATTTGAATAGGCCAAATACAACTTCAAATTTGCCACTTATTTTATTGACTGTGATTGTGAAGTCGGGTTTATGACCTTCACCTTCGCCATCATCATTTTTTTTCCTAGATGCGCTTACGAACGACAACTTGTTTGCCCTATGAAGAAAGCAAATAAAACATTAATACTGCATTTATACGCCCACTAAAGTATGAATGACGTGTAGAATCACCAATCAATTGTCCTATCCGGTCCGTCAGGGAAAAATGGACGTAAAAAAGGATGTATTGAATGATGTACGTGGGTATCTTCTATTGTTTGAAGACTATCAAAACTTGTTCGCCAATTCTCTGCACTAATTAGAATTATCTTAGTAACTTGAGAAATACGATAATCAAATATCAAATTAAAGAAACACCCATATGTGATTCCAAACATTTTGACTGATTCTCAGCAATTTTTTATCGGATGGACTCGAGTTCGTCCTTAAATCATTATAAGCGTTGTCGATTTCTTCTTCTAGAGCCTCCCTGGTCTGCTTTCGGGCAACTTGAGCACATCGATGACATATATCTTCAACCACTTTCGGCAAATCGTATTTCGGGTATATCGCCCTCATTTGCTCAAAAATCTTTGTGCGGATGGCTGATGAAATATTTAATTGTACACGGACAGAGTTTTCCTCCAAAAGTAGTATAGAATTTAGAGCACTGGACATTAATAATCCAATACATTATTATTAACATTCCTAACTGTTAATATTTATACACCACATAAAAAGATAACGTGTTAACTAACAGAATTTCGCCGGGGTGCTCGGAGAATTTCAATTCATGTCTATTTACTTTTGATTCAGCAAAACTTTTGAAACGAAAAAATGCTTCACTTATGTTCGTGTCATCAATGGTCCACTCCTGTACAGAATTTAAGATCTATTAATGCTATGTACGTAAATAATGAAACACATATCTACATGTACGTACTGTAACTATTTGTTTCAAGTCCTTGTATAAATTCCATTCCAACACAAATGTACGTTTAATATTGTTATTTTCCTTCTGCCTATTTGTTTTTGTGACTGATTCATCCTGATATTCAATTTTTTCTGATATGTCGGACTGTAGATGACGATCATTAAAAATATCATGAAAAATTAACATTTGCTAAGTTACTCTGAAAAGACTACAAATTCTTCACCTTTTCTGCTTTTTCAGATGACTTCCTACGCTGTTTTGAACTGCTATCAGTTGACTTAGGATCTTTATCATCATCAGCCTAAAAAAGGAATCACACAAATTGGTTGCTATTTTTGAGAGAAATTCAAATCCTTATCATCATAGAGATAAATTCTATACCGACCTTCTTTGGTAAAGATAAATTTCTTTTCTGCTTTGGTTGGATAGGCATGAAATCGTCATCGGACTAAATACAAAAAGAAAGAGTTATATCAGACCGACCACAATTCTCATAAATTACGCATGATCCTTTGCTTCACTGCTTACACTATTAAATACATTAATGGATTCAGTCCCTGAACCAGGTATTGTGCTATTATTAAGATCTTGTGATTTGTTATCAAAGGGGTTATCGAAGGAAACAGAACCTCGTATGGAACTTGATGATGAAGAATTATCTTTCGAAAAATCGGCTAAATTAATGGCTCTATTATCGCTGATGAATTGATAATCAATATCGTCATCCATGTTCCTGCCGGTGGTTTTAGCCTGTTCATACGAGAAATTTTTGAGGAATTCGCGTGAACAAATCCTTATCATAAGTTGCATTTTATACATACTTTTTTAACTGAGACATTCGATTTTTTATCCTGTAGGTATAATAAAGTCATTAAAAAATACTCTCATAAATTTCAAGACAACATTTTATATCAAAAAAATTATATTGTTATATTCTAACCTTTGACAACGATAATTTCTTCCGCTTTGGTTGACGGATAAAATCATCACTGGACTAAATACAAAGAGAAAGAGTTAGTTTCTAACAGACAATTACTATCTCACAACTTCCAGCTAAAAAAAATTACGCATCTGTACCTCTCTTTTTGATAATCCAGTGAAAGTTCCGCTGTTGATATTACTATTAAAACCAACTACATTTCCATTTCCGATAATTGGCTGGTTGATGTAAGTTTTACCACGCGAGCGCTTCTCCTCCCACTCTCTTGCTTTTTTGCGGTCTTGTTTTGGATCCTAACATGGAAGATTTAGAATTAGTAACATTCTTTGACTCAAATCTATTCGATTTCCCGCCCACCAGAACATCACGCAACCGAGAAGGTCACCTGTGCCCCAGTGGGTCCGATGTTGGATCGGCAAGAAGCCTTTGGCATCAGATAACTCAAGTGAGGTCACTGGTGCGCCAACACCGTGTTATCCGAACAATTTGTTTTCGTATCCGCACCTTTTGTTGAGAAATTTCTTCACGATCTATCAAATTATCACCACAGTCTGAAAAGTTACCGACTTCTGTCCTTTGGTTGTCTAATTGCTCTCGTTTTTCCTGTTCCAGATGATTAAGTTCTAAATCGCCATCGTTTCGTATTTCTTGTAACAATTCCCGATTATATATATTATGCATTGCCATACGGGATTCGGATACATTGTCAAGTATTTCTGCCTTCTCTTCTAAATACTAGTTGTGTGTAAAATGTATAGATAAGTCAACAGTCTACAAATAAAAATTCAATAATTTGAATATACCTTTAACTTTTTGGTGTTATGTAGTTGTCGTTTCAATTTCAACATTTTTATTCTCTCCCAGTATTCTTCAACGGATCGTGATTTTATTGAAAGGTGGAGATTTTGTAAAATATCCTTTGCTTTTTCCTTATATTTTGAATTCCCTGTAGCAACCCTAGTGAGAAATTCACAAAGTCCCTGTTCTGCTAAGTCGCGTTGCAAATATGATAAATCAAATCTTTTATAAAAATTGATTGGTGTAAAGTGGTCAAATATACTATTCAAGTCTCGCTCATTCTCACACATTTTCGTGAATTTTATAAATTCTTTATTATGAACTTACATAGGACTGAATCACGTGAAATTACGTATGGGATGCATCCATAAAAAGAATATTTCGGTGATACTAATAGTCTAAATAATTATCAATTTTTTTTTCGTCAATTTGCGTTATCACCGCTGTTTGTAAGTCCTTTTGAAGCTTGCAACGCAATTACTGTCAAAAGGCTTAATGGGGGTGAGAATTTCCATCTTAAGTAGAGACTGCGAAGATACCAGTTATCACTGCTGTTTGTAAGTCCTTTTGAAGCTTGCGCAAACGCAATAACTGTCAAAAGGCTTAATGGGAGCTTTCCATCTTTCAAGTAACGGACTTCAAAGGCTTGAAATACGCGCTGATGAAATTATTTTATTTTTTTTCACGAAACTTACTATTTTCGTTGATATTTTACATCGCTAATCAGAAAATGTTAGAGACGCGAATGAAATGTATAATACTATCAAAGAGGGAGGGAGTACGCGGATCCTAGGCCATTTAATACGAGTCCCAGCATCAAATTATTTCTTTGCTTTCTCAAATTTTCGAAAAATATCTATAACTAATTTGTTCCTATCGCTACTAACTACAAGATTCTCACCCCCATACTCTTTTTCTGCAATCCCAACCATATTTACAGAATTTTTGTCTATCTATTTCTCTCCCAAATACACAGACTATATAAAACATTATTACTACACAAGAAATTTATTGCTTAATTTTTTCTGCGTTATCGCCGGTACGATACTGCGCAAAGTTTTAAGAATTCGGCACGTGAAGATGCTAAATTTTTTGATGCACTGCGCCAGACTTTTGCTGTGCCGTTGCATGTGACGAGATTCATGTGAGGAATTTCACTGCATCTATTGTACGCGTGATGATGGTCAGTGATTTCGATATATAACAAGAAGAGCAATATGTCCGCTTTATTATGGAACATCTTTAGCGGAAAATTGATTAAGATCGTGATGACATGTTTCAAGAAGCTAGCCGAGCAATAAACTAACTTACTTTATAATATTATTAGAATTTTCGTTTGATTTTTCCTTGATTCTTTCTTATATTCGCACAAGGCAGATAAAAAGATTTACTAACTAGGACATCACCTTTTATACAATTTGCAGGATCAATCTTGGAACACACTTGGGAAAAAATTACGTATCGCAAAAATCTGATCAACGGCATCCCCTTAATTTAACAATAAAGAATTTAATGCTATCCATATATAAAGATCATCAAGGGCTATACATAATTTTGAGAAAGTTTGAGAATAAATTATTTTGTGCAATTACGGTAATCATTTAAAAAATATAATAAAAATTTTTATTTATTATCATATTTTTTATTATCATAATTTAGAGATATTATTATATTTTATTTTTAATTTATTAGTTTTTTTAAATATTTTAAAATATAATATAATCAATTAATTTAATTAATTTTTTATTTGTTTAAGAATTTATGTATTCATTATATTACTTTTTTTTTATTTGCAAGTTATTATTTCTATTAATTAAAATTTAATATTTCTTTCTTTATATAGTCTTTATTATAAACTTTATACAGAGGGCTGCCAAAAGTCTCTGAACACTTTTTGGTTCAATAAATCATTTAAAATTTTTAAAATTTATTAAATATTTATTAAAATGATATATAAAGTAAATTTCGTACTAATTAATTAGTATTTGGTCAGGCCTTCATTTGCTTCAATTGCAGCCTAGGTGTAGTGGTGGAGTTAATAAAGGACAGGGATATCATTCAAGCGAAGTAAAATTTTTTTTAAATTCTAGCCCCTGCATCGTTTTCATCCTTAAGGTATAGCCATGTCATACGAAATAAAAAATGTATTTAGTTTCCAGCCACTAGCATAGAAATGTCATCATGTACTTGCTTTTCTTCCTGAAACTTTTTATTTCAATATTTTACAAATAAAAGAATTTTAATACTGCATATGATCTCTTAACCAGTAATGACTTATCCTTATATACTACATTCCGCTGATTGTTCGAGAGCAATGCACTAATGCAGGTTATTTTTTGAAAATTAGAATCGACAAATTATTAGATATTAAGACTTTCATGTTTTGTGACGATCGTAGCATTAACTGTGGAGAATTATTTTTTATAAAAATACTGAATATGACAGTGATGTCTCACATATGTTTTGTATTTGATCATGTTTTTAAACAGTCTTAAAAATCTTGCTTATAATATCTTAAAAAATCTCGAAAATGAATCAGTTAGAGACATAAAAGTTCTGGAGTTAGGACCATGTTCAGAGTATAATAACAAGATCCTAATGCTTTCTATCAAGACGTTCACAGTACTTAGCTGTGGTCATGTTTTTCATAGAGAATGTATCGAGAAAATTTTTTACTTACTCAATAAAACAACTACCCCATTGATAATTGTACTGCGATTGTTAAGCCTATAGTCACTGAATGGAGATTTTCTGTATTGTCTCAATCAAGTATTTTATCAATAGTTAAGAGAATGAACAATCAACTTCAGATGGAATTACTAGTAATCCAAGAAGAGGAGAGGCCAGTTTAAGAAATGGAAGTGAATGAAAAGATCAATGAAGAAGAATTAGAAATCTAACCTAATAATTAAAACTTTACACCCTTTAGCAGTAAAAAATAGACTAGCGAAGATGTTGAGCCACAAGCCCTGCTTCACGTTCATCCATCGAAAAACTGCCTAAGAAAAAGGCTAAGAAATTGATTAAAAGAGAAGATTCGCCTATCTTAAAAAAGTTAATCAAGGAATTATCTACTCCTATTTTACAGCAAATTTCTTCTGATAGTACTATTTCTTTGCAAACGTTCCTCAAAATGAATGTTAACTCAGTTAATTTTCGTAAATTAAATGACAGGATCATTAAAGCTAAAAGTGATAATCAAAAAAAACTGTTTTACAACTGATCCATAGCTATTACTATTTTGGGAAAGAATATAGGTTATGGTTTGATCATTATAAAAAAACGTATAGTAATGATACGTTTAATTCTCTAGTTAATGATAAAATTTGTGAGTGCTTTCCAGACTAGAATAAAACTTCAGAGGCTAATCTTAGAAAAAGGAAGGAAAGGTAATAAAGATCTTTAAACTTTTTGATAGGGTTAAAGGGGTAGATAAGATAAATTGCATTAAGTCTTTTTCAGCATCAACTATTTCAAGATTAGACATGGAGAATATTGACTATGTATTAGCTAAAGTTTTAAAAGCGAGTCAGTGAAATTTACTACGCATTTTTTTTACTCAAGTGTAAACATATGTTTACAGCTACTGAAGTTTTTCCAGATTTTAAATAAGCTAAATTTACTCATATGTGATCACCTGTTCACACTTGCTGAAGTTTTTTCATGTTTTAATATATTTAAAATATGTATGGTTATCCTTCTACAAATAAAAATAGCATATATGCTTATCATTTATTTTTTAACTTGTGTACACCTATCAAATAAATAAATGGTACACCCCGCTTTCTATTCTTACATATTATTTTACAAAAATAGTCATGTGTATAACTGTAACTGCTCTTTTGAAAGAAGTGATGATAATTGTAATGCTTTAAGAGTGTCATAAAGTTTCATAACTTCAGAATTATTTTTGTGAAAATCTATTAATTGGTATAAATCAGAATAAGTAGAAAATGCTATATATTTTTTGCTAAAAAGTATATGCATTGCATTTGTGATATAACTTTAATTTTATGAATATCCAATTGATGTGAAAATTCTAACAATATAATATTTTGGTTTTTTCTTGCCTCAGCTTCTTCTTTGTATTTATGATGATTAAGATATCAATCAATACTCTGTTTTCAATAAATACAATTTTCTTTCACAAGTTCATTATTATATTTTTTCAATTCACACCATCTACAATATATGAATATTGTTTCATCTATATCTTTATATTCTAACTATGCATCATTTCTATTATCCATCCATTTTAGGTCAGGACTACTTCTATTTTTGCTGCGTTTTACTCCAGATGATGTTGATAAATCTGACCTTTCATTTGAAGAAGCTTCATCAGTAAGTTTTGATTGTTTTTGGTTACCTTTTGTAAATGATTGCGCTGAAAAATATCTCTTCATTTTACGAAAAAGTAATTCAATGCAAGAATTCCAACTGAATTTTTTTTTAATTAGTGCAAGTTTAATGTTGTGAAACTATTTATTCATGAGATGATTTTGGGTATACTTGCTTTAAAAAATAATTTTTGCACTATGTAATCTATAAGATTGTAAATTATAATAGCTTACGGTAAAAATAATTTAGGCATACAATTATTTATAAAAAATAAATAAAGAAATCATAAGTTTGAAAAGAAAAAGTAAAAGATATTTATTTTTAAAGAAAATCAAATAAAGAAATCAAAAGTCTGAAAAGAAAAAGTAAAAATTATTTATTTTTAAAGAATATGCGGTAACTGTGCGTAACTATTTGCAATTGTGTGACAATTTGTGCAGAACTGTTCGCAACTGTGCACATTTCTTGTATATATAAATTTTTTTTATACGGCATACCACACATCTTTTTCAAAAAAGGTATACACAAAATTTTAATCATATGCACTGCGTACAAGCTGCACAGTGAAAAACAATAACAAATATTTAATAATATAAATAATAATAATAACAAATATTTAAAAGATTAAAAGAATGATTCTAAAAGATTTAAGTGAAAAAAATTTGATTTATTATTATTATTATTATTTTATTATCTTTTTATTTTTTTAATAAATGATAATAATGATGAAATAATAATAATAAATATTTAAAAGATTAAAGAAATAATTTTAAGAGATTTTGAAATAAAAAGTATAAATTTTTAATATTATTATAATATTATTTTTTAGATTATAATAATAATGAAAATAATGATAATAACAAAAATAGAATATTAAAAAAATAATTTTAGAAGATTTTAAGAGAAAAGATTTATTTGTATTATTATATTATTATTTTTATTATTTTTTTTAACATGTTTTTTATTTTTTTAACTTATATTTTTTTAATAAAAACTAAATCAATATATTTTAAGAATTTTTTTTATTTTTTTTTATTATATTTTTTTATAAATTTTATATTAAATTTTATTATTAATAAAATTTTAATAAATTAGTAATTTAATTAAATAAGAATATAATTATTATTAAATTGATTTTTATAATATTTATTTAACTGAATTGATACTAAATTAATGTTGCTAAATTAAAGTCAATTTTAAATTAATTTATAATTGAATTTATATTCTGAATTAATGCTAAATTATTTATTTAATTTAAATTGATTGTATTAATCAGAAAACAAATAATTTAATCATAAATAATATCAAATTTGATCTAAATTTAATTATTTAATTTTTAGCTGATTTGGATTATTTGATTTATATAAATTATATAGTAAATATTCAATTATTAAATTATAGTTAAATTATATTATCAACAAAAAAAATTATAGCTTCAAACATCACGTGAGATTTGCTAATCAATGATGTTTTCATATTGGATAATATTACTATTATGTCAAATAGTAATTAATAATAATTTCTGTTTCACATATTTCTTCTGTTTTTTTTATAACCTATTTATTCTGTTTATTCTATTTCATCTATAATTCTTTTAACATCTGTAATTTATTTTATTTATTTTTATTATTTTTATAGTTTATATTATTTTTATTATTTTATTACATTTAAATATATTTTATTAAAACATATATCTATATTTAGTTAATTTATAGCGTAGTAAATAGTTAACTTTAATAAATTAATTTATATAAATAGAATAGCTTTTTGCTCAAATTGTAAATTAATTCAACTGTAAGTTTCTTATAAGTTTCAGTATTATAAATAAAGAAATGAATTTAAATTTATATAAAATTACTTTTCTTTCAATATTATTCCTTATTTAGGATTTGTTATAATACCTTATACTAACTTGCTATTGAGTTTATCATTACAAGTTTAATTAAATATATTTTAAATTCTAAGATATAATAATTGTTGAATTGATTCAAGTATAACAGATACCTGTAGGATTTAGAGAAAATCTTAAGATCAAAAACTCTAACGTGTAGAATTAACTGCTACAGCCTTTTGACTTAGACATTAAAATAACTAAATGTGAAACTGGTAACAATATAAATTAAAATATATTATTATATTTAATTTATATCATTATATTTAGATTATAATGATATAATCAGATTATATTATTATATTTATAATCTAATCTAAGCTGATTATATTACTAATACAATTAGTTATAATATATTTAATTAAAAATTAAATTATAAATTATTATATAAAATTTAATAAAAATTAAATTTAAATGAAATTCTTATATTTAAAAACAAAGTATATTTTTTAATATTATGATAAATATTATCTTTTTTTTTAATATATAATTTAATTATTGTTATAATTTTAAAAAATTTTTATAAGATATTATAAAATCAATATGAAAGAAAATAATAAATAAATAAATTTATATTATAATTACATTTATTTTATATTTATTATTTATTTTATATTTTAATAATTTTTATTAGTAATATTAATAAAATATTAAAATTTTATAATTAAAATTGTTTTATTTATAATTTATTATATTTTTAATATATATTATTATATATTATATATTTTATTATTATAAAATAATCATTTAAAAATATATTAAAATACTAAAATCATTTAAATATATAAATCTTTATATGATAATTATTCTTATAATGAGTCTTATGATCTGAAATCAATAAATTCATAAAATTTTTTACTTAAAATTAAGAGAATTTTTTTATTTATTGAAATAATAATAAAACAAGCCTGATTAATAACCTAATAAACAATAAATAATTTATTATTTGATTTGATATTATGAAATTTTAGGATTGATAAAATTTCTAATAGGTTTTTAATTGGTCTGAAAATATTTTAAAAATAATATTTATTTACATAATATTTATTTATATATTATTAATATTTAGAATCTGATCCTAGGATCTAAATCCTAAAATGTAAAATTGCAAAAAATTTTTAATAGTAACGTTAAATTAAAATTAATTAGGATCAAATTATGAACTTCCTAACCATAAATAAAGTCTCGGGTTTATTATCCGCCGGTTGGAATTAAATATTATGAGGGTAACGGATGCAATAGGACAATCAGTGTTACTGTAAACATTATTGCCACGGAGCCTAGAAAAAGAAATTTTCCTGATTTGTTTTAAGAATCAAGCCAAGAAGCTTTTTTAGGATCAGTGCGGGCACTGCTCAACCAAATCGATATCATTATTGATTTTATCTTTCGTTTTAATTAATTAATGAGATGAGGTTCTAAAATAGGATTTTGAATAATCGACCGATTGTGTTTATAATTTATCGGATTATTTTTGGTTGGTTATCATTATAAAAAAAAAAAATCTATTTAAATCTTGTAACAAATTCGTCAAAATCAAATTTACATTTTGTGATCCAACAATTAAAAAAAAATATGTTCCGAACATACCCGAACATACGATGTTTTTTGATCACCCTTTTTTATATTCGATCGCATTTTGAGAATTGTCGATCATAAAAATCCATTGACGCCAAAAAAATTATTCCGGCAAAAAAAACCATGGTGGCTGTGGCATTAGGGTTCACAACCAAGCCACTAAAATTACATAATTTGAAGGTTGGTTGAATTTCCAGACATTAACATTATTACCGAAGAACATTAACTGACTAGGACTTTGTTTACAAACCACAAAGCATTTATTATTAATTTCTTGTAACCTTTGCTTTTATGAAGCACCTTTTCTCACCCTTTTCTTTCCCATATTCTTTATAAAATAATTGCCTAGTTTAACTCGATACCTTAATTTTGAACTCAAGATTTGTTACAAGGTTCAAATGAATTTTTAATTGTATATTTAATGATAAAAATTAGCCTATAACTATGCCGCATCACAATTCTTCTGAAATAACTACACCGTCTAAAGCGAGTTTAAAGGCGTGGTGGAAACAGTTTACGGTAAAAAATGCAAAAAGAGAAAGTGAAGAAAAAAGAAAAGGTAAACTTTTTTTATTGATGATAAAAAAAAACATAAACTCGGGAGTTCGGTTTTAACAAAAACGAAGTCAAGAATATTACGTTTGGAAAAGATATATGGGTAAAGAAAATAAAAAATGAAAATGATTAGATTAGTTTATAGAATTAGAAGGATAATTCCTTAAAAAAAAAAAGATAAGGATCAAATTAAAATTTTATTTTTATAATGTCATTACTATTAGGTACTAAAGGGATATTCGGTATAGGACTTTCCGATGGTATCGAATATGCAAGTGTACCGATATGTATGGCTGGCGCAGACGGTCAGCAATATGTATATGGGTATATACCTACAATAGTTGCAAAATGTGGAATGTATCTAAAAGAAAAAGGTAATAATCTTTGTTTGTTAAATATATAAAAAAGTTATATATATAGTACTATTTTTTTGATTAATAACAAATTATGATATAGCAACAACGACGGAAGGTATATTTCGTTTAAGTGGATCTGCGAAAAGAATAAAAGAATTGCAAGCGGTTTTCGATTCTCCACCTTTATACGGAAAGTCATTAACTTGGATGGGTTATTCCGTACATGATGCCGCAAATATACTGCGAAGATATTTAAATCATTTACCGGATCCAGTCATTCCACAGCAATGGTATGATCAATTTCGGTCGGTTCATGGTAAGGGAGCAACCAATTTGCCTTAACTTTTTTTTTAAAAAAGTTAAATTTGTAATGATTTGAAGTTAACTTCGTTTGGTAAAATTTTTTTTTTTTTTTTTTTTAGCTAACAATACCGATCCACAAGAAAGGGTAAAAAAATATCAGAAATTGATTTCAATGTTACCAAAAGAAAATCAACATTTACTTCTCTATATTCTTGATCTTCTCGCGGTTTTCTCATCGAAATCAGGACAAAATTTGATGCCATCAAAAAATTTGGCATCAATTTTTCAGCCGGGTATTCTTTCACACCCTTCTCACGATATGGCCCCTGAACAATATAAGTTATCTCAAGAGGTTTTGGAATTCCTAATTGATTATCAAAATTACTTCTTGATGTCCTTACCAAGTTCTACATCAAATGATGTAACGGAAGAGAAGACGACGACTTTAAATAATAATGGGTCTCAAGAAGGAAAAGAATTATCGAAAGATACAGAAGGATACTATCGTGGGATCGATAGAGAAAGTTGTTCAATATCTCTACAAGAGCCTCATGACCTAAACAATCTACCTGTACCACAATTATCTCTACGACGATCAAGTTTAAGTCTTGAACATCGAAATAAATCGGCAGATTCCATAACGATGATACCGGGAGTTATTAATGAACAAGATACGAACGAAGATCTACAATTAACGAAACGGGTTCAGGGACAAGATCCTTTAACTCGTAAAATTACCACGGATGGTCTAACGAGAAGAAGGACATTGCCAAGTAAAAAATCGAAATATGGAGTTACAAGGGAAAGGGCAACATCAACGATTGGCAGTTCGAACGGTAATGATATTTTCCGTTCATAGCTACTTTCCTATATTCTATTTATGGTTTTATTCTATTCCTGAATTATTGGATCCGAATTATTATTATTACTTTTATTTTATATTTCTTTATTTTTTTTTTTTTCTTTTTTTTATTAGTAATTGCTTCTGTTAAATTAGTATGGTTATTGAAAGTGTATACGAAATATAGAGAAGACTTATTTGTTTTTTAATGATCTTCCCATGCTACATTTTAATTAGAACATAGATTTTCAATTATTTTTTAATGCAATATGAAAATATAATTAATATACATATATAATTATAAAATTTCACGAGCTAAATTATATTTTATTAACTGTATGTTTCTTTCTCTCTTTACCCTTTTACATTAAACCTTTAACATCATTCGATATCTTTATACTCGACCTTTGGGTGAATTACTTGTTGAAAATATAATTATCACCATTATTATTATTATTATTATTATTTCTATTATTATTATATAATATATAAATATTATATATATATATATATATATATATTTTTTTTTTTTTGGTTTTTTGTTGATCAAAATCTACCAAAAAAAAAAAAAAAATTTTTATCAATAAAAAAGCTTTGTTAAAACTTTATTTTAATTGTTTTTTTAAATTTTTTTTTTTTTCTTTTTTTTAGATAAACGAAATGGATATTCACAAAAACAAAATTTAGCACAATTTGCATCATTAATAAACTTACCAAAAGAAAATAATAATAATAATTATCAACAGCAACAAAGCAAAGAAAGAAAAACATCACAATTCTCTAGAAAGAAATCCTCATCAAAAAGAACAAGAAATAATAGGAGTGGTACAAGTGGTAATATTGAACCTGTAAATGCTTCAATAAATTCGTCATCATCGTCAATGAAAGGCGGACCATCGTCAACAAAATCGCTATCATCGCAAAAATCACCATCACTTTCAACGTTGAATGGAAAGAAGAAATTGGTTGACGTTGTGTCCGATGAAAAAGAGAACGCATCCATAACTAGCTCATCAAGTTCATTTATAGCTAAAAGACGTAAACGTAATGACAAAAAAGGAAAAGGTGCACAAGAAGCTCAAGGAAGAAAAGAAAAAATGACATTTTTATTAGAATTAAGAAGAAAAATGTGGTTTGGTGGAAGTAATAGTAGCGGAGGTAATAGCGAGGATAGTATCTTAAGTGTTGAAACTGTTAATGGTAAGAATAATGGAGGAAAAAAAACTTTTGAATGACACTTGAAATGTTTGAATTGTAATTTTGTGTAACCAATTGACATTAAAATATTTCGTGCCTATATTTTTTATTCTTTGTATATTAGCTGATATTTTGCTTTTTAAGTAAAAAAATTTTTTTTTGATTCTAACTGTAACATATAACTAGTTCACATATTTTCATTCGATCTAGATTTGTCATTTTTCATTACGTTTAATTATATTAATATTATAGTAGCAATTGTTATTTTGAATAAAATCAAATATATATATATATCTCTATAGGTATATATATATATATATATATAATACTTTGTTTAGTTATTCGTGGATTTCTTTAATTCATCATGATCTTTAGCGTTGTATATGTTTGCATCCATATTTAAATACTCTGCAGTAAATATTTTAAATATATTATTCCAATTATATACCACAACAGGATCGATGGCATCAGCATCATCCTACATTATTGTGAATAATTATTGATTATTATGATGATTATTATGATAAAAAGTTAATCAAAAAAAAAAAAAAACTTATTACTCACAGATAATTCATGCCAAACCATAGGAAATGGCGAAGGAATAATATGTAATACGGGAACACCTCTCATTAAAAAAGGTATATGGTCATCTGCAATATGAGCTTGATATGTATTCATGGAATATTGATTGAAATAACTTTCATGATCTTCTAAAGTATCATCTATACTATTATCCTCTTTAATTTCAACCTTTCCATCTTTCGAGCTGCTAGTTACACTACCTGGTAACTTTATTAAATTATTTGTGGTTAACCTAGATTCTATTTGAATTAATTGACCAAACATCCAAGAAGTCGTGGTAAAATAATTTTTTATGGTTGGTCTTGAAGCACCTAATAAATCTAATAATATAAATACATCTATTCCACTTAACATATTTTTTCCTTTATTTTGTGGTGATTCTACATCTATAATATATGTATCTTCCCATTTAGCCGCCAAATGCCTTGTATAATTAAAGAAGAAAAGGAATTCAATAAATAACTTTGATATGTTGCAACAAAAGTTAACAAAAGACACAACAAACCTTGATCCATAAAGTGAATCATTATGAGTCCAATATTTAAAGGCCTCCTCCCCATCAAAGAAAATAATCTGTAATGTGGTCTCATCTTGTTTTCTATTATCAAGGTACTTATCCAAACTATATGCTAAATCCATTAATATTGCACAGGGTACAGCACTGTCAGTAGCTCCTATAAATCCTCCATCGGCAAAGTATTTACTATCAAAATGAGCACTAAACACTAATCTTTTGGTAGCTTTAATATCTTTGGTTACGATGATATTAGAAAAGTTCATTTGTCCATAAGGTGTATTATCCGTAAATTCATCCGTCTCGACGTGCCATTTGAGTTCAGTGAATTTATTGACGATGAACGAATTCACTTTTGTATTATTTTCGGTACCGGACACGCGAGGGATTAACAAGGAAGGAAGAAAATCCGTGAATATTGAAGAGGAGCTGGAGTTTGCGAGAAGTTGAAATGATTTTTCTGATAATGTCTTGTATGCATTACTACTACCATTATTCGATGTAAAATGTATTATAAATATGATTGATAAAGTAATTAATACCCTCATTATCATATTAAAAAAAAAAAAAAAAAAATTCCGGGGGGGGGGGGGGAATTTGATGTTAAAAAAACATTTTCGAGAAATGACCTGACGAAATTTATCACGTGAATAGATCCTTAAGGTTTCAACAGAAAACGGATAGTTTTAGGTCGATCACCAAATAAACGTAGTACTTCGCGTCTTTATTTCTGTCAATAATAAAAAACTATAATGATGTCTACTTCTCTTAGTGACTCACCTTCTTCCCAGAATAATGAGGAGTCTACTGGTACATATCTTTTTTTTTTTCTTATATACATGTTATTTATTTTGTATTGAATTTTCTTATATTTTCAAAAAAAGAGGAAACGAAACAAGAACGTGCAGCCATAGAAGAAAAGATAGTTAACGAAGAATATAAAATATGGAAGAAAAATTCGCCGTTTCTATATGATCTGGTCATCACTCACGCGCTGGAGTGGCCTACGTTAACGTGTCAGTGGTTTCAAGATATAGAAAAGTAATTTTATTTCAAAATATTACCATTCGTTTCAATTTTTTTTCGTTTACGGTGAAAAGAAAGAAATAATAATTAATTCACACTTTAGGCCCGAGGGAAAGGATTATACTATCCAGCGCTTATTGATTGGTACTCATACATCGGACAATGATCAAAATTATGTTGAAATCGCCAATGTCCAACTTCCTAAAAGTGATTCCGATATCGATCCTCGAAAATATGAAGAAGAAAAAGCAGGTTTTAATTTTTTTTTTTTTAGAAAAAGATCCAATTTATTATGTAATTCAATCAGAAGTAATATAATATCTAATCAGAAGCAGGTGTGCATGGTGGCTCATCCGAAAGTCGAATCACCGTTGTTCAAAGAATAAATCACGACGGTGAAGTTAATAGAGCGCGATATATGCCTCAGGATCAAAATATAATTGCAACAAAAACGGTAACAGGAGATGTCTATATATTTGATCTTACAAAACATCCAACTAAACCTCCCGCGGAAGGGGTTTGTAGTCCCGAGTTGAAATTGCGAGGGCATACAAAAGAAGGGTAAATATTATCTTTATTCTTGATCATTTACATTTCCGATTGACTCTTGGTTCTGAATTTCGTCATTACAATTTAGATATGGATTAGCTTGGAATCCGTTTCAATCTGGTCACATTATAGATGCTTCAGAAGATACCACTATTTGTCATTGGTATTGTCATATAATTGGTTACTTTGTGAATTTAGATCTTGTTACAAAAGGTTTTAAATAGTTTTTATCTAAAAATGAATTTATAGGGACATCAATGGATATACAAAAGAAACAATGGAGCCATATAGAGTTTATCAAGGGCATGAAGCTATTGTCGAAGACGTTGCGTGGCATACGGTAAATATCTTCGGCTCAGTAGGGGACGATCAAAAACTTCTCATGTAAGGGATAAGAAAACCTTTTTCATAGAAGGCATTCCCTGTGATCTTCTAATCTAGCATAGTTAAATTTTGTAGTTGGGATTCACGTGAAAATTACGACAAACCAGTACATACAGTCGTTGCTCACCAAAGTGAAGTTAATAGTTTAGCATTCAATCCATGTAACGAATACATTTTGGTGACTGGTGCCGGGGACAAGGTATATTATTATGATGCCTTACTACGTACACCTTATAAATTGTTTATAATTTCCTCTCTTTTTCAGACCTTAAGCTTGTGGGATTTACGTAACCTTAAAACCAAGTTACATACACTTGAACAACATTCCGGTGAAATTGTTCAAGTCGAATGGTCACCTCATGATGAAACAATCCTCGCATCTGCTGCAGGTGATCGTAGGGTTAATATATGGGATTTAAGTAGGATTGGTTCGGAACAAACTGCTGAGGATGCTGAAGATGGACCACCGGAGTTATTGGTATATACAGATCTGTGTCTTTTGATTTGTTATACATCTCTATATAAATACATATTTAATTGATTTTTCTTTCTCTTTTTTTTTTTTTTAAAAAAAAAAAAAAGTTTATGCATGGCGGGCACACTAATAAGATTTCAGATTTTAGTTGGAATCCTCACCTTCCATGGGTCGTTGCTAGCACCGCAGAAGATAATATTATACAAGTGTGGCAACCAGCTGCAAATATCTACACTATCGATGAAAGGGAAATCCCAGCCGACGAATTAGAAGATTAAAAACATTGATTGAATAGACAAATTTCTTTAATTGATTGTTGTCGTTAGAATAAAGATATAATATAATGTCTTAATTTTTTTTAAGCTTATTATTTGAGGTAGATTATATAAAGAGGTCATAATTGTATAAAATAGGATATTCTTTTTCTTGTTTTTCCTTTGCTGGAATATATTTCGATCAATTATTATGTATTGTGTTTTATTTATTTTTACAATATTTTGAAAGCGCGTGACTATTACAAAATGAATTTCTTTTCCTTTAGAACCCTGTGTTGAGTATATAAAGGATTTCGGTACATTGAGAATATATATATATATATATATTGTATACAAGACCCGATTTATATAGCAAATTTAAAATCTTTTATGCCATTTTGGATGTGAAGTAACTTTTTCCCCCCCTCTTTTAATTAATTAATCTGGAAAATGAGAAAATGCCATATACCATGCTGAAGCTGGTAAATGAATAGTGATCTATTCTGACATTTATCAAAAACCTTTATCCTTCTACAAGAACAACTTAATTAATGTTAAGCTTACTTATTCGTTTGCCTTCCCTCCAGGAATAATTAGAATATGTTTGCTCAAATGTGTATGATTTACGTTACTTTTTTAGTTGCGGTCACAACCATACCGTAGGGTACTTTTGGAGAAATTACCGAAACTCACTTAGAAAAGTACGGACATTCAAATTCAAGGATAAAAAACGCAGAATGATATTAATTTATATTATCTGGATTAAATTGACCGTGCACAAACTAATGACAATGCCTTAGATTATCTTCTCGTGATACATGGATGATTTGTATTTTTAAAGAGATTTTAAATTAGTTCTTTTTTTTTTTAAAAAAAAATGAATTCCATCAACTTGATACGAACTTTCAGAACATCAGGCTCTGGTATGTAATAAGCAAGTTGTATACACGTATTTTAAAAAACGTTTGAAATTTCATGATTCAATAAATAGGCTACTTGCGCAGAACTACTTTGACAAGGACTGGTGGCGTTTTACCTATTTTGATGAGGTACATTTGAATCGGGTGTTTCTCTTTGATATTATCGACTTTATTTAATCTTGCGTCTTCATTTTTTAATAATTATCCATTTCATTCTCTTGAAAATAAATTATAATTGCATTTTTTTTTTTTGAGCTCATTGATACCTTGATGAATTCTAATTAACTTGTATGCTATTTCATAACAGAAATGCGCGACAAAGCACTACATCGTCAACATCTCAAGAAACATCACCTGCCCACGAAGAGATTCTCATTAGTCAACGTGCCAAACGACCGCTTTCACCCCATTTCACTATTTATCAACCACAATTGACATGGTATATGTCATTTGCACACAGAGTAACTGGAGCGGGATTGGCAGTTGGTAAGGCTTCACAATCCTTATTAATTTGTAATCTCTATTGTGATTAATTTACTTGTATCGATTAGGTCTCTACGGAGTGACAACTGCTTATGCATTTGGCGGACCTGATGCCGACACTTTAGTTGCCGCAGTGTCAACTTTACCACCTGCGCTAAAACTCGCAGGAAAATTCGGCATTTCTTACTCTTTCTCTTACCATGTATTCAACGGAATTAGGCATTTGGTACAAAAATATCAATTTGAAATTTACAAATCGTGTTTTTGTCTTGGTTTTCTCACATTTTATTTATTATTCTATTTAAACAGCTTTGGGATGCTGGAGCAGCCTTATCAGTAAAGGGTGTATATCGAACAGGACAATCTGTTTTAATACTTTCTACTCTTTCGTCAATTGCACTTTGTGCGGTTTAAATTGGATATTGTGATTATTTAAAGAACTTTTTTTTTTTTTGAAATGTTTTTGTATCAATATGAAATAAGTTTTACGAATAAATGAAGAATTTTTTCTCACCAACATTATTTCGGAAAGATTTAATTCAGAGGATTTCTTTATTTTTTTTTCTTCGGACTTGGAGGGTTTTTTAAATTTTTCTCTTAGAATAATTATATCATAGAGATTACTTTTTTTTTCGGCATCACGTGTATATTTAGCGACCATTATTTATAGTACCCGGATATTACCGAAAACTTGATTTGGGCGGTAGGATATTTATAATTTCACAGGGGTTTTTTTTTTGCTTAAAATTTCAGACTTTACATAAAATAAAAAATCAAAATCACATTTTATTCAAAAAAAAAAAAAATTCAAACACCCTTAATTTTATATTCCATTATTTTTTAACTCCCGCCATAATTTTTATATTCACTCCCCATTATAATTCCGACTTAATCTGTTTTCTAACTCCATCATAATCTATACTCCGCTCCATTATATTTTTCAAACTCTGTCATAATTTTATATTTCGTCTCATTATATTTTTCATCATTGTTACTGAATTAAATAAACAAAAATATAGCTTTTATGAAAGCAAGAGTATTGTTAATTAATAAACAAATGAAAATAATATCATCACGTAAAAATATTAATTCTCTACCTCTATCTCTACCTCTTTTTCTACCTCTACCTCCTCTACTCTGCCTCTACCTCTCTTTTGCCTCTACCTCTGCTTCTACCTCTACTTCTACTCTGCCTCTACCTCTCCTTCTACCTCTACTTTTACTCCTATCTCTACTTTTATAAATAACAGTAATCAAAAAACAATAAAGAAAATATGAACAAAAAATTAAAGAATTAGATATTGGTTTGTAATTCCTTTAAACGTTGAAAATAATATAAAAGGATTACAAAATTTAATTTCAGAATATAATGATAATATTAAAAAAATATCCTATCAATAATTATTTTAAGATAAATAATAATACAAAAAATTGTTTATTTATCAATTTCTAAATAATGAATTATACATATTAAGTTAAATCATAAAAAATTTTTTTGATAAAAAAAGTTTTTTTCAGATAAAAGAAATCAATTATTTGAAAACTTAATACAGAACTTAATTATATGACAAATAATTTTAAAGATATAATTAAGAGTTTATTTTTTAAAAACAATTCCCGTTATACTTATTCAATATATAGAGATTGCATGACAATGCAAGGACATAATAAATATATGTTACCTACTCTTGAAGAAAAACATTTTCATGTAACCAAATTTATATATAAGATCATTCTTTTAATTTTAAACAAATTAAAAGAAAAGTAATGTATTATATAATTTTTTAAAAATAATATCAAATATAATATGATGGTAAATTTAGAAAAAAAAACATTTACAACATACAGTATATTAAAATTCAAAAAACATTTGAATTTTTTATCTTTATTTAAACAATATATTATTTCCATTAATTATAGATTTAGAATTTTTAATATTGATTTTTCAGATATTAAAACAAAAATTATAAATTTTTTAAAAGTTTTGCTATAAATTTAAGTATATCTGAAGATGATGATAAATTAAATTTAATAAGATAAGAAACTATCAATCCTTATAAAGATAATAATAATTATAAATATGCTTTTTGTATAATAGTAGTATTTGAAAATTTTGAAGAAAATTTAATTTAAGTGAAATCAGTATTGTAGTAGAAGTTAAATGTAATTATATAATTTTATTAAGATTTGCTCTTTTAGAACATTTTAATTTAAATGTGTAAAAAATAATTTTCAATAGTTTATTATTTAAAAAAATCATTTTATAATAAAATTTAAAATTAATAATTAATAATTCTTTAAAGTTATAATTATATAATTAGTATAACACGTAATTTATAATTTTTTTATTTATAAATTATAAAATATAATATTTGTTTTTAAAATATAATAAAGGTTTAAATTTTTTAAAAAATTTTTTTTGCTTTTATCATAATTAAAAAGAATACAAACAAAATACTAAATACAGTTATTCTGTATTATTTATCTTAAATAAATCACTAAACAAGATAAAATACTATTTAAACTATTAAGCCAAAAATCTTTATAGTTAATTCTTTAAATACTTTGCTTTTAGAAATAACTATAGAAGTAGATCTATCTTTAAAAAAAACTCTAGTAAAAGTAAACAAAGAAAAAACAAATAAGATATATTTATATAAAATAACAATAATAATAAAAATATTATAAATATAGACAGCTCTTCTAATATTTTTGAAAATACTCTTAATATATACTTAAATGCTTTCAATGCTTTTACGAAGTAATCTTAATATTTTTTCACTTTTTTTTTAATGAATAATACTTAAACATTATTCTTAATAAAAATTACTGCAATTATTGATCAATACTATGACTAATACAAGGCAAATATCTGTTAAACCTAACACAATCTATTATCAAAAGTTTTCTTTATTGATAAACTTAAATATAGTAGTTTTGTATTTCTAATTTAAACAATATCACATTTTAATCTTTTGAAATTAAAAGTAATATCTATTCATACCTATTCAATCAATTACAATAACTAAAATCCATTAGACATCATAGAAATAAGGCTTAGAAAATTATTTTTTAAATTTGACATTATCATTCAATTACTATAAAAAGTTTAAATTTTTGATAAAAAATTATAATCTTTGCTGATAATACTAAATTTTAATAAATTTAAAAAGATAATAGGTTATTTTGATTAATATTATGATTAGATTTTACATATATACTTTTTATAAAAAATATCTAAGTTTATTTTTTAGCAAAACTCATAAATCTACTAAAAAATACTACTATTCATAACTTTTATGAAATCAACTAAATGCTAGATATCTTAGTATAAATTATATTAAGGGTTTACTCTAATTATAACTATTTAAAATAGCATATTTTTACTTTTAAAATGCTGATAATACTAAATTTACAATTGAAAATAATAATTTATATTTAATAACAAATGATTAGAATAAATTGATTCAAAAAATTATATGCTATTTATTTTTTAATATATTATAATGCTTCTTCCTGTTCTAAATGTCAATAAATTTCTAAAAACTAAAATATGTAAAATTTGTATCAAAATTTCAATTAGCTTAAGTTACCAACTATACTGTATTTAAAAAATAACTATTGAGAATTACTATCAGAGAAAATATTACTTTTACCAATATGACTAAACTAAACAATATAAACTATTAAAATTTTTCTTTTTTTTCTTTAAGTTAAAAATAATAAATTTATAGTAGGTAAAGAATTTTATATTCAACCTTCAGTTTTATATTAGATTAATGAATTAATAAATTTAAATAAATAAATATTTGACAACACAGTTAATTTTACTTTTAGATTTAGTAATAAAATTATAAAAGGCAGATTAATGTATAATGTTGACTTTAAAGAACATATTATTATACAACTTAATATGATTAATAACTATCTATATGAAATTATTAAAATCTAAATTTTAGCAAAAATGATTTGAAGTTATAAAAAAACCTTAGATATCAAAATCATTATCCTACTTAAAATTAATCTTTATAACTATAAATTTTCTATTATAACAAAAATTTTAAATTAATTTATTCATATATTGATATCTTTAAATATATTATTACTTTATAATAAATAATTAATCATTATTTGTTAATAATAATAACAGTAAATTTTATCATTTATTCTAATTATTAATGATTTAATAGAGATTTTTAATCTATTTTTTTTTAAAAAAAATAATCTCTTAAATACTTATAATATTCAAACATTTTTTCTTCTGACTTTAACTTTAGATAAACAAATTAAGAGTTATATTAGCATCTTTTTTTAATAAATTCATTTACCTTAATTACTATACTTATAGAATTTTTAAATACTCCTTTTATCCTTCAAATAAATTTCTAACCCTTCATATTATTATATATCAGGATTAGAAAATAGTATAGTTAATACAATTTAATAGAAATTTAATATAATAAATACACATAACAATTAATATAAAATTTAGTATAATATAGTACAAGTATAAGATTAAAGTTTACCTAAAACATATAAATTTCCTAATTCTGCTATATATAATACACACTTATTTATTAATTTTGTTAAACAAAACTATCTTTTTTACTTTATTTAATATATTATTTTAATATTATAGACCTACAAGTAATCAATTTTAAATCAAATTATTCATCATTTTCAGTTGTTTATTTTCTGATTATTTGATTATTTTTAAGACAGTTAATCTATTAGATTCAGTATTAGTCTTTTCTTTAATCTTAAATTAACTAAACATATATTTAAATATGAATCAAAATTTGATAGAGTAATATATGTTAAATTTCAATTTGTTAACAAATAAAAATTATCAATTATTATTCTTTATCCAGAAAAAGTATTAATGATTTAAGAAAGAAACTTTGACCATACATTAAATAATACTATTAAAGAGGACTATTATATCATTCTTTTAGGAGATATTAATACTAATATTAATACTAATATAAATTAATCAAATAATTCTTAATTTATAATAACTTTTATTAATTTACTTTTGTATTTTAATCTTTATGATATTTTAATATTATATATAATAAAAATTAAATAAATACTCTACCTTTATTTTCTTGCATAAACTTGTAATTTAGAATTGATTATATTTAAATAACTTTAGAATTTACTTTAAATTTGATTAAATGTGAACTATCTAATTATATTAATTCATCATTTCATCACTGTCATCTACATTAATTTTTTAAAAATTATATATATTAATTAAAAATTTCTAATGAAAATTCATTTAATTTACCTAAATGAAAAATAAACAATCTGATTAATTATTGTAGCATTAAAAGCAATTTATAATCACATTATTTAATATTAAATAAATATCAGAATTATTTTAAGACTTTGTTATCACAACTACTAAATCATATATACTTATAAACAAAGCTAAAGTAACTAATAATACCTTATGATCTGCAATTTTATCTGCTATTTATTACAAATCAAAACATTATAGTGATTTTCAAAAGTTTTTAAAAAAGTCTTATTGATAATAATATTTTTTAAATGGTTTAGTTTATTTAATAAATTTATAGAAATCCACTCTTATATCATAAATATTATCTTTATCATTTCATTATAATATATATGTCATATTAATTTTGTTATATTTAATGTCAGGTTTTTACTTTTAAAACTTCATATCAAAGTTAAATTATATAAGTAGAAGTTCAAAAAAAGAATTCAAGCTGCCTTATAAACCTGATTGATAATTTTTATGACAATTTTTTCTGAATAATTGATTTAGTTTTTATTGTAAATATAAGATAATCATGTTCAATAGGTGTCTTAATAACTCTTGTTTAAAATAAGTACTACTTACAGATGAATTAAACATTAAAAAGAAATTGCAAGACATTTTCAATAAGTAGTCAAAACAAATATTATAACAAAACAATTTCTAATATCTGATAGCCTAATTACTAACCAATAGATAATATTAATTCCAATATTTATAAGCTATTTATAATTCATTTTTCCATTTAATTTTTATAAACTTTTTTATATAAAAAATTTATTAAATAATTATGCATAATATAGTAATAAAAAATTTACTTTAAAATCAGTTTATATAAATCATGAAAAAATCTTTTAATTTAAAACCTTAAACAAAAAAGAAAAAAGGCAAATTTTAAAATTGATTTTTCAAAATCAAATACTACTGATTCAAAAAATAATCAAATAATTGCTAAATAATACTAAAGATTTTAAAATTAAAGCAATTTGATAATTAGTAAATTTTTTATAAAAATATAAAATTATATTAAAAATAAATTTTAGGATCAAATTTTAAAAATATAATGTATTTGTATATTTACATTTTTTGCATTAAATAACACTATTATTATAAATTTCAACAATTCAAAATAATTTTCCTATCCGCACCAATGTCCTATCCAGAAGAATATGATATTATATAGCTGGTTAATATTATATTAATATAATAACTTTAAATGAATTATAACAAGATATTATACCAATTTCAACGCGTTCACATTTTTCAACGCTAATATATCTCTATATCCAGATTTCATCTACAAAGAATAAAATATAAGTAAGCTTCGCGCAAAATATTTCTTCTAAATTAGTACGATGAACTATAGAAGCTTCATTTTTGTTCTTTGAACAAAGAAGTTACGGGGAACTTTCACCTCTGAAAGAGTACCAAGTCAAACAGCTTATTGATCTGCTATCATCAAAAGTAAATATTAAAACCTTGTCACTAACCTGTGGTAAGACCTCTAATACTTTCAGCTTCCGAGAGTAATCATTTATTTTTAATAATGCAGAAGTTACCGCACTGTCTGTTAAATCTCTGATAGTATTATATTCGCTCAAAATATCTCCTTCTATTGTTAAATATATAACTGTTGCACTGCAAATGTTTTCTAAAGATCCCTCCAACAAAATTTCTCGATTTTTGGAACCAAGTTCGAAGTTACCATAATTCATATTTTACGATTATGAAAGCGGCAAATGTCATTTACTGATTTGCTTGATCGAATGCCCATGTTACACAAACCGATCGTGTTTTTACAGATAAATTGTACACGGTTTAATTCAATTCTTATTTAATTGAATTGATGATTATTCTTATTTCAATCTTTTACCAATAATATTCTATTTTCTTTTTCAAACTTAATCATCTTATAATAAAGCATGAATGTGTTAACATCATATTATTCAAAGGAATTCACAATGACAGAGATAAATAACGTCGCAAAATAAGCATTATCTCAGGTTACATCCGAATATTTTATGGTTAAATGTCAAATATTTCGAGAATTACTTGTCGAAACATGAAAAAAAAAAATGTCTTATAAGAGATACTTTAATATTTTGAATAGGGGTTTTAACATCGTGATATAAACAATCTAATGAACTTATGGTGGTTCAATGGCATCATGAGTACCAAATTAATGACCAATATACTTATGGGATTAAGATATTGTTGCACATAGGTGCCTGATACATTATAATGTCATACATGTTGAGGAAAAAACTTTAGTTTACAACAAAAAGAGACTCGAATTGCAAAAAAAAATACATATATGAAAGAATTTTGCCTTCAGGAACGTAATCAAATTTATCAATCTTTAACAATAATAACATCATGGACGCAATTTGTTGTGTCGTTAGTAATTCGCGTTTTCTCCTAAACGTGACCGACAAACCTAAAAAATGCGACTTTGATAACAAGGTTTGGCCACGATTCATTCTACAAGTCAAAAAAGTAATATAAGAATGACCTTTGAAGAATTCGAAAACAACAAAAAGAGTAAAGAAAGGGTACATCCATTTGGTGAAGGCAGCAAATTCCTTTAGTCGAAATGAATCCATCAGTTCATTGCCATTATGACTAGAAAAAAAGATTCTTTAAGCAACCAAGATTAGTTTGAGAGCATAGATTTGATAAATAGATTTGGAACAAGAAAGGTTTTGAGTTGATTCCCTACGAGTTGATAAATTTGCATTTGCTTTTTTGGAATGTCACATCGAATAGAACAATTTCGATTTATTCGTATTTAACGTTCACGTCACATTCTCCGCACCCAAGGACAATAAATCGGTCTCCATGATCTTTATAATTATCAGTAGTGTCATCTTTCACATTGAAGCCTTGATATAATTATCAGCAGATAAAAGATGTGTATCATTTACGTTATTCCTTACATTCGCCATAGGATATAGGTTTCCTTGATCCCAACATAGGACACGGTTCTTTTCTAACTTATACATGCTTATGCAAAATAATAAAACGGATTGTTAAAAAAAAAAAATTTAAAAGTTGATTACTTTGCGACCTAGACATGATATTAAAATAATGTTTATTAAATTCAACATAATCTTTGCGATTACAAATTAAAGGTGTTTTTTTTAATGAATTAATGAATATTAATGAATTTTCTAGTGATATTCTCTCTTCTTTAGAGTTACGTCCCGCTAAAATTTACATTAGCAATGATAAGTTGTATGCCGTACATGTAGCAATTTTTTCACATCGACCAATTTTTGGCAACAAAAAAAAAGGAACGATTATGTTTAATCGTCACCTGATTGAGATTTTTTTTTTTTTGTATTTTGCGTGAATAAAACCTAGATCATTACAATCTATATCATATGGTTACAAAGAAATCTAAATCTATAAGTTAGGTAAAACTTGATAACCTAAATAAGATACCCCTGATCATAATCAAAAGTATCATGCAAGTTGAATCCGCCAATAATGGAAAAAAAAAAAGCATCGCCTAATTAGACAAATTAAACCTCACGTTACGATCTTTTTTATTTCTATTTACGCTCCGTGCAACAGCCTACGCGAAGTTCAACGAGAGTTGTCAGAAGATAATGAACTTTATATAAATTAACTTCATTCGGAGTCACGCGAAAGAACATTTTCCATCAAATTCCGAACATACATGCATGATTATGAGTGATGAACATACAGTATATTTTGATTTAAAACTCCGAAAGTATGAAAAAAAAGATACGCCTAATATATCGTTCACGCGGAATTTTTATATTAAATTTTTTAAACATTCAAATTAAATTAATAAAACGATCCGTTTCACGAGGAGCGCGAATTTGGTATTACTAAATTTGATTCAAACAATGATTATTTTTTTTCCGGTCATAAGAAAAATAATATTCATTTAATTGGTGCGTTAAAGCAATAAAAAAATGGTCGGAGATAATGATTGGCGAAACTTATTAAACGAATAAACAATAATGTATGAACGCGTGCTTATTCATTCAAATTCTTTTTATTTTTTTAGCGAAAAAAAAGATAAATAAAATAGGATAAATAGAATAAGAAATCATGGTTAACATATTACCATTGGAGGAAGGCGTAGATGTGAAGTAAAGGTTATTTATCTGATAGATTATCTATAATAATTTTTTTTTTATTAAAAAAAAATCTTGAAATCAACAGTTATCGTTTGTGAATTTAAATTACCCAATCTGATATGGGCTTAAATTGAAATGAATATTTATTTTCATAAGAAATGAAAATAAACGTTATGGGATTTCATCAAAGGCGTAAAACTTTGTAACCCACCGCACAGATCGTGTTCATTGCTACTTTCTTTATTTGGCATGTTTAATAAAATAGAATGGATCGTTAAATTTAATCTACCGAACATTTTTTTTTAACGCAAAAATAATGATTAGGAAATTATTTACTAAATGTTTACCAACCCTTGCTGCGTTAAGCATATCTTTTCCTTTACGGTGTTTTATCATTGATAGGAAATCACCGAGTAAAGGAGTACGACGTTTCTCCAAGTAAAAAAAAAAAAAAAAGACACACTTGACATTCGAGCGGCGTAAAATGAAAATTTTTTCCGAAAACTCTTTTGATGCTGCGGGCGGCGTAATTGTTTTTGTCAGGTGCAATCAAGAAATTACGCGCGTGGATTCGAATAAAAAAATAATCTCTCAAAGAGCATGATAAATAAACCGGACACGTGATCCATCTCGATTAGATTCCTGGCAGAAATTTTTGAATTATTTATTAGCCTTGTATCACCCCAACAGCACAATCTTATGCTTTATAAAAAGCATTTATATGGATATGTGATTATTCGTGTTAAAAGACATGAACAATTACTGCGTCATGGTAACCTATTTCAGTATTTGTAGGGTATAATGGAACCTTATGAATTTTAGGTCATCATTGCAGAAATGACATTTTTTACCTTTAAAGGGAACACAAAGTAACTTTGTTCAATCCTTTGTGTATTATTTCACTTGAAACGTACCCAAGGACGATGTTGCGGAGGGGAGGGGTTTTTGATGCTCGAGGTGCATAACGCTAAAGACTTTTTTTGGCTTAATTTAGAAAAAATGTTTGAAACCTTCCGATTATTTTCCAATTTTATTGAGTTGTTGTTTACATGATATGTTCAAACATATGGTTGAAGAAATATCCAGGATTTTCAATAATAATTAAAAAAAAGCATAATCAATTGGTTAGTGGAGGATGCTAGTTGGCGCACTCTATCTATAACGCACGTTGTTAGATCATAAATTTTTAAAAAAAATTTTAGGGTTTTTACCCTTGCATACTTGCATATTTATTTGGAAGTGATTTTTTTTTCGTCCTTTTTAATAAATTAATTAAACATACTGGTTTCTACGCCATTGAAACAAGGTGGTTCATCATCATCAAGGAGAAAAATTTATATATATATTTTTTTGTCATGGCGTGCTTCCTTTGGAAATGTAATGTCATGTCATGCCATGTATTTAACCGTTTGTTTGGTCAAAAGAATTGGTTAAGATCAAAAAAGATAAATAACCCATGATGCCAAGTTTTGATATGTTTAATTCGTCAAAAAAAAAAAAATCTCACAACGCCGCAGTAATTGAGAAAATAACCCTTGAAAGAATCTAAATCAATAGGAAAACAATGAATTGCTCGTGTTACGTTACCCACGAGCACTATGCATCATGCGCGCTTATTTTGGCTATTTTAGGTCTTATCTTGTCTTAAAAAAAAGAAATTTTTTTTTTTGGATCATGTCCGTGTACCATCGTTTTTTATCAATTAAGTGAGGCTTTTGCGACTATCTATAATTCAATCATGTGCAAAAATGACATTTAGTAGTATGGGAATTTCTGAGTTATTTGGCGTTGATGTCAAATCGAACCACATACATACATTTAAGTTGATTTTTAATTCACAAAAACATACATAAATCATTACGTGAAACCTTTATTCGGAAACTTTTGTTTTTTTTTGGTGGAGTTTAACTTTAAATGTAATGTACTCCACCTGTTCAGTAGGCATCCGATGACGCGCCCGCTAGGCGGAATAAGCCTAGCCAAAAAGTGCGCTTGAAATATAGGATTGTTTAGACAATTTATTTAACCATAAATTGTTTCTTTCACAAAAAAAAAAAAAAAAATATTGAAATCAGATGGCCATTAGTTTAGCATGGTTTGTGGCGAGATTCGCTTAAATAAACGGATGGATAAGTCAGTTCTTATGCAACAAGAGCGTCACAATTTCCACTTCGCATCATTTATATTTCAAATACTTGATGCATGTTATCAATCATTAATATTTTTGTTTTTAGAGCAGATCGATTCGATTTTAAATTTTCTCATTTTGCTCGGGCTTGGAAGCTCGATCGCAACACTAAAATTATGTGTGCTGATACAATTAATTTCGAAAACAATCGTTATAATTTTACTAAACCGAAACGGTCGTTGATTATTGCAAATCTTGACCAAATGATAGATATCCCGTCATGTAAAAATCAATTTTTTTGCTATTGTTTTTTTTTTGGAAGTGACCAAAACGTATCTTTTTGTTTCAAAACGGTTAACCAAAAAAAAAAAATAAAAAATTTTTCATTATTCATCACCATTTTGTGCTATAATCGTAAGGTCCCTGCATATTGTGGTCAGCACTTTACCTTTACCTGGTTAGTGGAATGTAACCAAAATTGGTTTTAAAGTTGTTTATTTTCCAAACTGATGTGAACCTTTATTTTTAGTGGTTATTATTTTTTTTTTTTGCCAAAGATTTTCAACGATTTACCGTTAAGAATATGAATATATTGTTTGAGGTTGCTGCGGATTTTTAAAAAAAGTTCCAAACTCAAAATACTGGTTTTGCGACCTTTCAAAAAAAGAAAAAAACCGTTTTTGATTTCAAAAACTCACATGAAAGAATAAATCCAATTTTTCCTAAAACATCATCATTCTAGTTTACTTGTTTAACGAAATCAAATTTTCTTTGTTGAAACCATATTTTTTTTTTTTAAAAAAAAAAAAAAATCATGATGATTGTCTTGTATGTTCTGATGTTCTTTGAATGTTTAGGAAAAAAAATCCTTTTTCATTGATTCTCTTTTTAATAGAAGAAGGGAACACATACTTTCCCAAGAAGTTACGAATCATCCAAAATCATTTCTTCAAACTTTTTTAACCATATATAAAAGCAACCATGGACAAAAAAAAATTCCCGTGTTACCGTATTTACAAAAACCGGATGGTGGTTTAAAAAAAAAATTTTTTTTTTTTTTTTATTATGAAATTTAAAAACATTTAATAATTTTAAAATTAATTAAAAAATTAAAATTAACTTTGGACTTTACAAGGTTAAAATCTTTGAATTTCAGGATTTTCATTCGCCATCAAATTCAATCAAATTGTGGCTTGCCTAACCAAACAGTCATGTACCTAATATATTCCAATGGTGCCAAGTTTATGTGTGGAATCCCATAAGAATTTTTTTTTTTTTTACTACTGAGCATTTAGAACGATTCTTTTTTTTTTGTCGCATACAATCATCTTGACTGATCGCAGTAGCTCGGCAATGACGAATTTGATCTTCCGGAAGTCTTGAATTCTAGATTTCCATAATCAAAATTTCAAAATTGAACTTTTCTGTTACACCTCAATCAACAAATTACAAACATTGGGCAAACATTTTCTTTTCTGACTACCAAAACTGACATATTCTCAGTCACATTTTTTTGGGAACGGCAATTTTAATTCTTTTGATTCACCATTTTATATTTATTATGACGCCACTTACAGGAAGATAAATAATTATCATGTTTCATCTGACTTTCAACACATCGTTGTACGATATTATTATTTTAGGGAACTTTATAGCATGTAAAGCATTCACACATTTATTTGGAGAAACTCGGAAGGAACCTTGGAAATGGAATTAAAAATTCAATGTGTACATGTAAATCCTACAAAATCGAATCTACAGTAAATTTTGGGCCAAGGATGGAAAAAAAACAAAACTTGTACGTATCATGATGATATTTTGGTGCGACGAAAACTTGTATGAACCGTTCAGCTGATTGTTGAAATAAAGTGAAAATGATTTCTATTATCGTAATGTATGCATAGTTAAAATATCATGAGGATTGTCTTCTTTTTGTTTGTTTTGCCAATTGGAAGGTTGAAATGAAATGTTTTAATTGTTTTTTTTTTTTTTTTTATTGTTTTTTATTGCAATTTCCGGTTTATAGTCTTATTCCGACATTTCCGAATCTTCTTTTTTTTTCATTTGATTATGAACGCTTCAAATGACCGACATTCTATCTGTATGATGACGATTGACCACGAATAGGTATTGTATGCGCCACCAAGCCACAATCCTTTAAGGAAAGTGACTTCGGCTTCTTCGGATGATTTTCCAATTCAAGTATTTGGGTTTGAGATATTTATAGGTTCCCAACTATACAAGAAAATACCGCCATCCTGGGACCTTTACCGATGTAGATGATATGTACAAGCAGGTGGTGGATTTTCCACGACGTCCATGAGGCGAAGGTTTATGCGAGATATATGAGGACAGGTGTGGGAACTTTTTTTTTCATTTTTTGTGGAGGGGTAAAAGATGTTGAGGAGGCTCATTAATTTTTTTTTTTTTCTACCACCCGGTTGTACGCGCAATTAATTTTGCCTAGTAAAGGTACGGGGGTTCAAAATTAACTTCTCCTGCTTTGGTCTTAGTCCCATATCAGTGATTCATATGAAGTCACACAATAAACACAAATTACAATTAAAGTTGTATATTTTTTTTTCTTCCTCACCCAATTACAAATAATCAAATAAAAAAATAATAAAATGCACTTGACAAACTAAATTTTTTTTTTTTTTCTTAAAAATTTTTCCATCCCTTTTAAAAACCTTTTTTTTCTTTTTATTTTTCGATAAAAAGAATTACGGGATTTTTTTTTAGATTAAAAGAAACTTGTATCCAAAGTAAAAAAGATCATTCATAATATAAAAGAGTAATAGGGCTAAAACTTACACAATTTTTTTTTGGTATAACAATAAACAATAATTTTTTTGTGCACGAAAAAAAAAAAATAAAAATAAAAAAAAAAAAAAAAAACGGGAAAAAATATTTTTTTTCACATAAACATCACTTTTCCGGTATTCTTTTTCTTTCTTTCCTTCCTTTTTAAATTTCTTTTAAAACCATCCCATCCATATCACAGTTGTTCAGTTCATAAACTATTATGAACTTATCAACATCTTCTTCACCATCACCATTGTTATTGGGTTCATCAAGTAAGGATAACTACCACGACTCAAGTGACGATAACGACGATAAATTCGATAAGTTTCAACTACAAAGGGCTCCCTCATCGGTAAGTCGAGTTATTACTAAGTGGCAATATCTTTAAAGAAATATATATGTACATATATATATAATAATATAAAATAAAAATAAAAATAATATTCGTTATCACCGCCATCATCTGCACACATTCTTTACATATAACCACCTTTTCCTTAATACCTGTCTTTTTCTCCTTACATACATTTAACAATATCCCCTATACATATTCTATATAGTATGATATATTATATAATAACCTTGCATATCTTACAACTATTATTTATATTATTACTTTAAACTTTAATATAAATAATTAATGTAATTATCCGGTTATAAAATTTTATTCCTTTTCGTTTGAACACACTTTCAAAAAAAAAAAAAAAAAAACAAAAAGGAAAAATATATATATATGTACTCATATATTTATTTATTTTTTTTTAACTATTTATCAATTTATTAAGTTAAAAAAAAAACCTGAAATAAAAATAAATACTTCGATAATTCCCTTGAAGATTTAGAAAATTCAGATTTCGAAAACCCTTAAAAATATATTTAACCCTATATACTTTTGCCCTCTTGTATAATACATTATTTACAGCGACAAAGAAGAAGATCAAATAGTTCGAGCAATATATTGGCCTCAACCGTAAACGTAAAGGTGGTTCGTTCTCCCGCAAGGAGGGATGCAAACTTCGATAACACTTCTAATAATTATAATATTCATACAAACGAATACCGTCCAATACCACGTCCTCCTAGATTAGCTTTCGACACTTCCTTTGACACTTCGGTTGAGTTAAGGATGCCAATGACACCTCCTTCAAGACAAGAGTATAAAGCGCATCATCAAAGTTATCAACAAATATTATCACAATATAATCCACACAGTCATCGGGACTATCAAGGGTTATCTGGAAAGGAATCGAGAACAACAAGTTTCAGTAGCACCAAGAGTAATAAGAGTAATAAAAGTTCCCTAAGCATGAATAAAACTTTAACCGCTTTCTATAATGAACGGATAGAGAAACGTACGGCTTTCGATAATGATGATGATGAGTGTTCCGATTCGGAATCGGACACAACCCTTTCCGTTTCATCCGGCGATGATATTCGAGAATGTAAAAAGGGTCATCGTCGCAATCGATTGGCTAGACAATTATCAATGCTACGGAAGGAAATTGATGTTGTAAAGAGTTCCTTATCCGGCTTACAGAAAGATCACAAGGTAATGCTAGACGAGAAAAAACAATTGGAGCAACAATATCAAGAGGCGAAATATGAGGTGACCAAGACCTTGGAGAATAGTGCCAATGATTTGATAGAATATAATGAATTATTAAATGCAAAGATGGAAAAACTAACAATGGAATTGGGAGTGCTCCCATCAAATGAAAATTCTCCCCTTTCAGATGATAACGGTATAATAAGTGGTGGTAATGGTGAATGGCCAATGGCATACGCGAACATTATGAACAATTGTGTGCAACAAGCAAATAAGTTGGAGTTTTTACAAGCTGAACTAGAGAAATCTAAACGAGATTTTCGTTTATTATTGGACTTTAAAGAAGAAATTGAAAAAACTTTGGAGGAAAAAGAGCGTGTATATTTGGAACAGATTCGACATTGTGAGGCTGTTACCAATGGTCAAGCTGGTATGATCGATTCCATGGAAAAATTATTAAAAGAATTGGAAGATAAGATGGATAAATTATTATTGGAAAAGAGTGAGAAGAGACAAGAACGTTTTGTAAAACACAAACATAATTCAAGTGTTAGTTCACATTTGTCTGCGAGTAGTATAATAGGTGAAAAAAAAAGGAGACGTGCTCAAAGAGTATCCATTGACATAAAAAAGGGGTCTCCACCAAATAATTGTTCAATTGACAATTCTATAAATCTCACGCCTGCTGAAGAATTGGTACCTGCATATTGTTTGGCTCCTCCACAGACGCGTCGTCAATCATATACAAATCCAATATCGTTATTTACGGACGAGGAACGAATTCGACATCAGTCTCGTTTTTGTATGTATCATTAATTTAATTAAAAATTTACATTCCATTATTAAAAATATAACATTAATTAAAAAAAATTTTTTTTCCTTTTAACTAGGCCTAGCAAAAAGATGGGTTGAAGATGATGAGGTGTCAATATGTCAACAAGCTGATTGTGCTGTCAAGTTTAATTTCTGGAATCGAAGGCATCATTGTCGGAGGTAGTTATACATTTTACTTACCATCTTATTTTTTTTTTCGTTAATTCATTTCTGATAAGAGTTAACCATTTCCGAAATTTATTTGATCATTTAGATGCGGTAATATCTTTTGCAATACACATAGTGCCTATTCTATGCTACTGTTTCCCGATGGTAGTGAGGATTGGGGTGGTGTATGGTCAAGAGTTTGTGAAGGTTGTTTTAAAGATACAAAATAAGATGAACTTTTCTTCAAAAAAAAAAAAAAAAAAAAGTTTTACAGCTACTTTTCATATTAGGGAATCAGAAAAAAGTTTTTTTTTTGGTTATCATGCGGGCAATGATTATTTTTATTAGTATTCTTTTTTTTTTTTTTTCTGTTTGGGTTTAGGAATTTTTTTTTTTTTGAGATGATTGAGATTCCCTAACATGAAGATGTTAATTCTTGTTCTATATTTTTATTATATGGACTATTTAATTAATTTTGTTATATTATTTTTAAACTAAGCTTATTTACTTTTATTTATAATACAATCAATTACTAATATGTAAAGGAAAATCCGTTATCGAATAAAGATGTTCTTTACAAAATCGATTTTTTTTTTTTGATTTTAGGGAGTTAGGGGAAGTCAAAAATCTTGGGTTACAAATATTGCTATATAAGATAATTATATTTGGTAACCATGACAATGTTGACGTCGTTAAGATTCCCATGTAGATTTTAAATTTTGTGGAAAAGACGATCGATTGATTTTTTGGACGAACTATCCCTGAAGATTCAATTAAATATAGTTCAGCCCACATGGCCTATTTTGTGATTAAACTCAGGAATTTAAGTTTGGAAATTATCTGTCAAGATACAGATTTAACTAGAAGACGGAATGGATGTGCATCATAACCCCCGATTTTTTTTTATCGTGAATTTGCCCCTTCCCCAATTTCTGAGGATAATAATATACAGTATTACAATTATTACAATTACAAGAAAATTAAAAATTCAGTGCGTAAATTGGACTTTAATGCTTTTAATTCATTGTATATTATTATTTGTAATACAAATACATTTTACAATTTAAAAGTTACATTATTAAAATGACAATTATTAAAAATAG